GCATGATGGCCGCGACGCAAGACAGATTCTGGGGGCGATGTTCCAGGGCTGCCATGATCGAAGAAGAAAACACATAAGCATAAATTTTTGGCGCTCCGAGCGAATTTCTTGGATTCGTGGATTCGCGCTGGGCCCCCTCGGCGGCGCCTCCGGCGCCGCCCCTGGCGCGCTCCACGCGCCAGGGAGGGGGGTCCAGCGCGGATCCAAGAAATTCGCGCGGAGCGCCAAAAGTTTATGTTCATAGCGTTTCTCCTTCTGCTACATTGAAGAAGAGGAGTCATGGAGGAAAGTGGTCTTGAATTTGTGTCGCAATTTTCGAGCTCTCTGGGCGCTCCCCGGGCCCCAGGGCCGTCACAGACGCACCCAGGATGAGAAGCCGGTCGGGGGAAAGCCCTGGGGCGGGGCGGGGGCGGGCGGGCGACATTTGTGGCACGCAGTTGGTTGTTCCTCGATGCGTGGCCGCCCCCTGCTCCACGGCCACCTTGCCCGCGCTTGCGTCTCGCCTCTCGCCCCCCCTTGCCCGATCGTGCGCCCCCGTTGACGCCGCGGCGGCACGCGCGCGAGGGAGCGTGCTGTTCCGTAGCCTTCTGGCTCACGCCCCCGGCTCGAGCTCTGGTCGGGGCAGCGCGCAGCCATGGCGGACGGTGCCCAGCAGGGCTACGCCGAGACGGAGAAGCTCTGCGCCGCGTTCGGCGCCGCGCTGGCGCTGGACCTGGCGGCGATCCCGGTGCGCGAGTTTGGCGACGACGACGGTCAGGATCCGGGGGCGGTCGGCAAAGAGGCGGGGGGGAAGGCTGAGGGCGGGGAGCATGGCGGGGGCAGTGAGATTTCCTGGCTTTCAGCACGCTCCTTGCACCCCTCTCGTCCGCACACGCGCCTCGGGCCATGATGCGTGCACCCCCTCTCCCTGCCCCCCCCCTCGGCGCACCTGGCAGGACCTGGACGTGAACAACTTGCCGCCGGACCTTCGATCGCTGTTGACGGGCGGCGAGAGCAGCAGCGGCGACTCGCTGTCGCTCCTGTCTGGCCTGCCGCCCGCCGCCATACCGACGCCCCCTGTGGCCGAGGTGCTCCAGAGCGCCCTGGACCCGGCCATGGCGGCGGCGACCCGCAGCAACACGCCGCTGCAGGTGAACTTTGACCTGTTGAGGCTCAGGGGGGGGAGAAAGGAACTCGAACCCTCGAGCCCTCGAACCCTCGAGCCCTCGAACCCGAACACCTCGAAGCCTCGAACCCGAGCCTCGAGCCCTCGAGCCCTCGAACCCGAACCTCGAAGCCTCGAAGCCTCGAAGCCTCGAGGCCTCGAACCCTCGAAGGTCAACCCCTCGTCGCCACGGCGGGACTCGCCCCTCGCAGTCCCGGCCGCAGCGCGCTCTCCGGGGGAGCCAGCGGCGGCGGCCTCCCCCCTATGCTCCCCCAAGAGGCAATCGAGCACCCTGGCGGCCGGGGTGCCCCTGGCGATGCAGCGCTCCGCCCGCCTCATCGAGCGGGAGGTCTTCAGGAGGGAACAAGAAAACACAGACACAATTGATCGTCGATCCCCCCGAAAATATAGGAAAATAGGGGAAGTGGGGGGGAAGACAAAAACCCCAGAAAGCCTGGGAACATATGGGGAACATTTTTATTTGAGTGTATTTATTTGTGTGCCCCAGGGCCCCTTCAGAGGTCTCCGCAGCGGCCGCGCACTTCGAGACCCTCGGCTACTGCGCCTCCTCGGGCAGCGGCAGCGGCTCCACGGCCGTCTCCCGGCTCGCGGCGCTGGCCGGCCTGCGCCCGTCGCCGCCGGCGACGGCGAAGGCCGACCAGGAGATCGAGAGGCTCCTGAGGAGTCTGGAGGGAAAAAACACACGGACACAATGAATCGTCGACCTCCAGGAAAGTATGGGAAACTATGGGAATTGGGGGGGAAGACAAAACCCCAGAGAATATAGGAAAATGTGGGGAATCCTTTTATCTGTGTGTATTTATTTGTGTGTCCTGGGGCCCCTTCAAGGAGGACGATCTCGAGCGACGACGTGGAGCAGTTCCTGTCGCCGGCGCCCCCCCCGCCGCAGCCCCCCGCGCCGCCGCAGCCCCCCGCGGGCGGGGCGGCGGTGCTCCGGCCGCTGGGGAGCGCCGAGCGCCGCCGCCGAGGGTGCCTGCCCCGCGGGCTGGTCAACCTCGGGAACACCTGCTTCCTGAACGCGGCCGTGCAGGCGCTGGCTCACTGCACGCCCCTGGCCGCGTTCGTGCTGCAGGGCCGCTTCACCGAGGACCTGAACCGGGCGAACCCGCGCGGCACCGGGTGCGTCCTGGCGACGGCGCTCCGGCCCGCCCCGAGTGGGGCCCGGATGGGGCCCGACGGTCGGAGGATCACGCCGCATCGCCGACGCATCAGCAGTGCGGCAGCGGCGCGGCTCGACTCGGGGCCCGTGTGTCGCCGTTCCGAAGGAGCCGGATGCATTCCCCCGATGCATCGGCGGTGCACCGAAGACCGACAAAACGGCATCAGCGTAGACGCATGTGTGTCGGCGATCCGCGCGGACTCCTTGGATCGGCGGTGGACCTCCCTGGCGGCGCCGCCGCCGCCCCGAGCGCGCCAGGAAGAGGGGCCCGGCTCCCATCCAAGGAATCCGCCCGGACATCCGAAAGCTCATGCGTGCGCACTTGTTTCTGCCTCCAATGCAGCGCGATCCTCCGACACAGGCTGCTCGGACCCCACTCGGGCGGCGCCTGCAGGTGTTCGCGGCGCTCCTGCACGAGCTCTTCACGCTGCGGGCGCCCGGCGGCGCGGGCGCGGCGGAGGGCGGCGCGGAGGACGCACACCCGCAGCCGTTCCCGCCCTTCGATTTCCTGTACGCTGTGGCGAAGTTCCACCCGTTCCTCGCGTCGGGGGAGATGCACGACGCCCAGGAGTCGAGTCGGAGGCTGCCTGGGGTGATGCAGGCACCGGGCGCCCCCCCCAGGCATTTCGCGCCGCTCAAGGGCCCCACGTGGGCCCTCTGAGCCTCGTGAGGGATGCTCGGGGGGCCATCCGGGCCTCCCCGGAAGCACCCGGGCAGGGGCCATCTCGGGCCAGGGCACTGGCAGCACCCGGCCGAGCGTAGCCGAAAGGGGGGGTGCAGCCAAGGAACGGGCCAGGGTTGATGTCACGGTGCGCCCTGGTGCTCGCTGGATGACACAGAGCGTGAATTACCTACCCCGCTTTCGCTTCCAGGCAAAACCAAGCCATATCACGCGCCTCCTCGCAAAGCGGCCTGACCAGTACAGGCCGCAGTTTGGCATCGCTTGGTATCTCTTGGAAGCGAGGGTGGTCAAAAGCGAGGTAGGTTTGTGTACCCCCTAATGACACCCGCCTTTCCTCTCCTCCCCTCCCTGCGAGCCCCAGCTTACGGTAGGCTGGTGCCGAAGCAGCGCGACCCCCAGCGCGGGCGCTCCGGGTCGAGCGCCGCCAGTGCCCCAGAGTCGGCCGACCTCAAGCGATCTGCGGTGCCAGCAAGTTGCGACCAGTCAAGGTTGAACGATCCCAGCGGTGTCAGACGCCATCGCCCACCGTCGTCGCGAAATGAAGCCGCTGTACGTCGATTGGCCCCGCATTCTTCTCCCTGAGGCTCCCTTCCTCTCCCTCCGGCCAGCCGCTTAGCCGGACCCAAGATAGTCAGGTGTTTGACTAATCGGCGGTGGACAAACGTCCCTTCAGTAAACCGCCCTTTAGTGAAAACGACCTAGGACCGAAACCGACGGACCTGGACCCGCAAAAACGACGGCCGCGACGCCCTCTCGCGAACCGAAAACGGCCAATTCGCTAATCGACGTGCCAGGGTAGGAGGTCTATCAACCTCCGAGCCAGCCCACATCCGCACAACATTATGCGCCAAGACCCCAGAGACCCGACGTTTCAACACCGTGCCCCCGTCGGCCCCGACCCTCGCCCCGGGGCGGGCGCTTCACCCCGCGCCGGCGCTTGACGCCCCCAGGGCCTGGCAGGGGCCCCCCCGAGGCCGCAGCGGCCGAGCAGCTCCGTCTTGACGTGTGGCAACACGTCGGGTGCCTGGGCCCCTTCCCGTTCCCCCGCCCGTCGCCTGCCCATGCCCTGGCCTTGTGGGTGCTACCAGGCTTGTGTCGGGATCCCGCCGCGGGGCCCTGCAGATGGGAGCGTCAGCTGGCACCGCTTCACCACCGCGTTGCAGCACCCCACCGTGCGGAGCGATTCCTGCAGACCGCCCTTCTCTTCCGTGAACCCTACCGCCCTCCAGGAGGCTGGGCGCGCGGGCGACCCCTTCACCACGTATCGCTGCATCTGTGCACGCCCTCCTCCTCCTGCTCCTCCTCTTCCTCTTCCTCCTCCTCATCCTGCTCCTCCTCCCCCTCCTCCCCCTCCTCCTCCCCTCCTCCTCCTCCTATCCTCCTCCCCATCCTCCTCCTCCTCCTCCTCCTCCTCCTCCTCCTCCTCCTCCTCCTCTCCTCCTCCACCTCCACCTCCTGCTCCTCCTCCTCCTCCTTCTCTTCCTCCTCCTCTTCGTCCTGCTGCTCCTGCTCCTGCCTACTCCTCCTGCTCCTCCTCCTCCTCCTCCTCCTCCTCCTCTTCATCATCAGCAGCATCGCCCTCATCCGCATCATCATCCTCAGCATCAGCATCAGCATCAGCATAACCAGCATCATCATCATCATCATCAGCATCATCATCATCATCATCATCATCATCATCATCATCATCATCATCAACATCAACAACAACAACACAATTAGCAGCATCTTCATCAGCATCATCAGCATCATCATCGTCAGCATCGTCAGCAGCATCATCATCATTCGCCTTCTCCTCCTCCTCCTCGTCTCCATCCTCCTCCTCCTCCTCCTCCTCCTCCTCCTCCTCCCCCTCCTCCTCCTCCTCCTCCTCCTCCTCCTCCTCCTCCTCCTCCTCCCATCCTCCTCCTCGTCCACCTACTACTCCTTCCCACCTTCCTCACAGGTGTCTCCTCCTCCTTCTCATCCGCCTCCTCCTCATCATCCTTCTTCTCCTCCTCCTTCTCCTCCTGACTCCTTCTCCTTCTCCTCCTCCTCCTCCTCCTCTCCTTCTCCTCCTCCTCCTCGTCCTCCTCTCCTGCTCATCCTCGTTATCCTCCTTCTCCTTCTCCTCCTCCTCCTCCTCCTCCTCCTCCTCCTCTTCCTTCTCCTCCTTTTCCTCCTCCGCCTCCTCCTTCTCCTCCTCCTCCTCCTCTTCCTCCTCCTCCTTCTCATTCGTCTCTTCTTCCTCCTCTTCCTCCGGGTCCTCATCCTCTTCTTCTTGCCCTTGTTCCTGCTCCTCCTCCTCCTCCTCATCATCATCATCATCATCATCCTCATCCTTCTCCTCTTCCTCCTGCTCCTCCTCATCATCATCATCATCTGGGTCCTCCTCCTCCTCCTCCTCCTCTTCCTCCTGCTCCTGCTCCCCCTCATCATCATCATCAGCAGCATCATCCTCATCATCAGCAGCATTGTCATCATCATCATCATCAGCATCATCATCATCATCATCATCATCATCAGCATCAGCATCAGCATCAGCATCAGCATCAACATCAACATCATCAGCAGCATCGTCATCATCAGCATCGTCATCGTAGTCGTCATCGTCAACCGTATCATCAGCAGCAGCAGCATCAGCAGCAGCATCATCAGCGTCAGCATCATCAGCATCAGCATCATCCGCATCAGCATCATCATCAGCTTCATCAACAGCAGCATCATCATCCTCATCCTCATTCGCCTCCTCCTCATCCTCCTCCTCCCAGATGTCTCCTTTTCAGCCTCCTCTTCCCTCCTGCTCCTCCTCCTCATCATCATCTTCCGTCTCCTTCCTCAATTATTCCTGACGCCACGATGGATCTCGCAGCGCGCGCAAAACCGCGGGGGCCTGAACTGCCTGAGGAGCCCAGAGCCCCCGACCGTGAAGCTGTAGCGGTCGAACTTCCTCGAGCACGTCGGCGCGATGTGCAGGGAGGAGGGAGGGACGGCGAGCCAGCACGCACAACGGCTGGGCCCTCACCGCTTCACACGCAAACCTTTCTTTGCGCTGGAGCCGCGCCCAGGCGCCCGCGCCGCCGAGATCCTCCACGCACCGCTCGAGCACGGCGACCTGCGCGAGCACCTCGTCGTGGCCGCGGCCCTGCAGCGGCCCCGAGCTGGGCAGTCCCAGGCACTCGTACAGACTGGCCACACGGCGCCTGCAGCTGCTCGACGTCCGAAGCCGCTGGCAAACCGCGGCAGCCGCCGCTCGTGTCTGCGATCTTGCCCGGGAAGGCTGGCTGCCACGCCGCCGCACCAGCGGCATCTCGTCGGCCCAGGCGTCGACCTCCAGTACCGGCTCGGGCGACGCAGCGGCCCCCGCAGCCGCATCCCCAGCTGCCCCAGCCGCCGTGTGCATGCCGTCGACCTCGCCGCCATGCGTGCCGTCCTCAGCCTCGCCCGTCTTGCCAAGCGGCCATGAGGCCGACGCCTCCTGCGATGGACAGCAGCGGGTCCTCCTGGCTCCTCCTCCTCCTCTTCTTTCTCTTCCTCCTCCTCCTTCTCCTCCACCTCCTCCTCCTCCTGCTCCTCCTCCTCCGCCTCCTCCTCCTCCTCCTCCTCCGCCTCCTCCTCTTCCTCCTGGGCGCCCCCCCTGCACTCCGAAGGAGCTGCTGTCGTGGCTGCTGGACGCCCTGCACGAGGACCTCAACCGCGTCCACGGGCCTCCCGGCGGCGGGGGCGGCCCGGCGGCGGCGGACAGTGCCCGCCTGGAGGCGCTGGGGCAGGAGCGCTGCGCTGCCGAGGCTTGGAAGGGCAGGGGTCCTCGACCCAGGACGATCGGCACGGGTGCGGAAAGAGTGGGCACTCAGACTGGCAGCAGCCCCTGTCCACTTCGAACTGGGGGTCGTTGTCCGTGCTGCCGCGGGCGTTGTCCGTTTGAGACAGAAGGCCGCCTGCCCAACGGCGGCCGCTGGCGGTTTTGGACAACACTTGCTGTTGGGCATCATTCCCATTTTTGTCCCGTATCCATTTCGGGCGTCCAAATCGACGCGGGTTGGCGTGAGGCGTTCCAGAATCGAAGACGACGTAACGGCACAAACATCAATTGTGACGGTCTTCGCGGGTTTCTCGGATCTGCTTTTGAGCCCCTCGGCGGCGCTTCTTGCGCCGCTCTTGGCGCGTTCCGCGCGCCAGGGAGGGGGGTCGAGCGCAGATCCAAGAAATCCGCGCGGACCTCAAAGTTTCTGTAAATGCCGTTGTTTGTTCCTCTAGTGAGGCGTTCCACACACGGCCTCGCCTTCGAGGATCGGAGGATTTGGCATCTCTTCCTCGGCGGAAGGCGGCGGAAGCAGACTGAGGCTACTTCCGCCAGCGGAAGCCGGCGGAAGTAGCACATGCGCCCCCAGGAGATGGCAACATTTGTGGATCCGGGGTTTCCGGAACCCGCCACGTGTTCAATCCCAGGCCCCCAGCGCAGTCAGGACAAAATCCATGCGAATTGTCATCTCCTCTTTTCGGCCCTCGCCGGGCCTTGGGACTGTCGGAAAACGACTGGGGATGAAAAACCAGCCTTGAGAGGGGGGGCCCAGTGTTGGAAAAAATCCAGGCAGCGCACTCGTGGGAACGAGATGAGATTTTTCAGTCGCGCCGTTCTTCCCCTGATTTCGGCTTCCGGAGGGCCGCTTTCGGCCCCCTGGAGCCACCGGAAATGAATCGGGAACTCAAAATTGCCTTGGTTGGGAGGGAGCTCGAGATCTCGTGGGGCCCGCGGATGAAAGAAGAACCAGCCCAACGGATGTCTGGGAACTTGCCCAGAGATCCGATGTCTTGATCTGTTCAATCCCGTGTCCCCAGAAGTCCCGACCCCTTCCCCAGGGCCAGGGTTTCATCTTGATTCGTGGTCTGACGGCCCTGGGGCCGGCAAGCGGCCCGCAGAGGCGTGGATGGAGCACCTTCGCGGCAACCAGTCGGTCATCGTCGACCTCTTCCAGGGGCAACTGCGCTCCCGGCTGCGCTGCCCCGCCTGCGGCGCCGTGTCGGTGACGTTCGATCCGTTCCTGTCCCTCACGCTGCCGCTCCCGCACGGGGCGGAGAGCGCACAGCTGGAGGCGGGACGGCCTTGGACTGCGCACGGACAGCCGCCCCGGGGTCATCCCGCCTGGCCTCGGAAGGCCCCCACACAGCACCGGGCAGTGCCAAGGGGCTTCGCCACCAGGGGGGTCACCGCCTCCTCCTCCCCCTTCCCCCCCTCCCCTCAACTCATCCTCTAGTCTTTGTCCTGATGAATAACTCCTCCCTGTCCCACCCCGAGACCGGTCGAAGGGGCGGGCCGGGCGTTTCGCTTGAGACTTACGCACCGTCTATGATCCTAAAACTGAAAATCTGCAACAGGTTTACAGATGGAGGGCGGGTGGTTTTGAAAAAGCGGTTCTCGCTTCAGCGCCATGCACATTCGTTCAAAAGTTCGGAACAGTTTCGCGGATGGAGGGCGCGTGGTTTTCTGATTGTGGTTCTCGCCTTCGCGCCGCGCGCATTCGATTTCAACCTTTGCAATAGTTTCACGGGTGGAGGCTGGTTCTTTTCAACATGTGGTTCTCGCCTTAGCGACACGCACATTCGTTTTAAGAACGTACAGCAGTTTCAAGGATTCTCATGGTTACCATCCCAAGCTAGTGTTTTGGCACAGTGTCCGACTGCTTGGGCGCAACAGTTATGTTGATTCGTGGTGTTGAATTCCAGGAACGGCTTTCTGGCACGATTCAGGATCGTCAAGACGCAACCGTAACGGTGATTCGCGGCGTTGAAGTCCCAGGCATGGTGCTCTGGCACAGTTCGGGATTTTCAAACGGTTGTCTTCCAATGGGCACTTCCCTCGGGCCTGTTAAGAGGGAGCTTGGAGGGAGGGGTTACCGCAACATCGTTGATGAGTCTTGGGTTTACACTGGTCCCCCTCCTCCTTCTCCTCCTCCTCCCCCTCCTCCTCCTCCACCTCCCCTTCTTCCCGGAAACGGAGGATCGAGGAGGAGGGCGGATCGAGGATCGAGGAGGTTGAGAATGTCTGTGGGGAGGTCCTGCAGATTTCTGTGGGGTCCGCGGGGGATTGTTTCCTGCATGAGGTGGCGAACCCCTCCTCCTGGGAACGACTGCGCGAGGGCCTGAGTCTGGTACCGATGCCAGGGCCCTGCAAAGAGGAAAAGGGGGCAGGATAGCTCACTCTGGACTGGGCCTAGACTCGTCTGGCCAGGCATCCCGATTGGGCGGGAGGAGTCCTCTGGCGAGCTTATCCAATGCTTTCTTGCCAGCTCCAGTCGGGCGCTGGCAGGCCTTCCCCAAAATGGTGAAGCGGGTGTGCCCCGAACCACCACACATTGCACACCACCACAGCCCGCGCAGGCACCGAATTCTGTGAGAGCTGTGAATCTGATGGGGAAGGCCTCGACACGGGGCAGCTAGCCACTCGTTGGTGGGAAGCTGGCGGGTCGGTGCCGTCAGGCAGACAGTACAGAAAGAAGAGCCTCGCCTTGGAACCACCTGGTGGGTGGTAGCTTGGCGGGCGTCCATTCGAGCTGCGATTCGTTCATCTCGTCGCGCCCTGTGGGCTGCGACCAGGTCGGCTGGGGTCGGGGCTCCTGGGGCCTTTGCATCAGCCTGCCTGGCCAGGACCTCAACCATTCCTACCTCGAGCAGGTGTTCCAGGACCTTCTTGGCCAGGGAATCGATTCGAGCGACTTCGGCGAGTGAGGCAGGGGGCAGCTGGGCGAGGGCGGCTCCTCTCTTTGCCGCCTCGTCAGCGGCCTCATTACATCTGAATTCAGCTTCTGGAACATGCCTGCCTATGTCAGCCTCCGCGAGGTGACTCTTAATTTTCTGAAACTAGGCTCCTCCTGGCCTGGAATAAAATTCATGCCAAAAGCGGGCCCAGGCAGCCGCGTGCAGTGGCTGCACCTGGCTGGGACCCCGTGGATCGCTTTCAAAAGATAAGCACGGTCTACAACGAAAGTTGTTGGGCCAGCCGTGTGTTTCAAGGCCAGCGTGAGGCCCTCAAGTTCCGCGAGGGGCACCGTCTGGTGCCTTCCCAGGAGCGGGCCACAGGCTCCCTCTTGGATGGCACCCTGGGCCCAGACAGCAAAACCCCAGCCGCACCTACGGAGCCTCGGGTCACTGGTGTAGTCGCCGCCACTGCCGTCGGTACCCACAAAGGCATCTGGGGGAAGCTCCATTCGCTGGTCCTGGGCAAAACCTCCTGAACATTCGAATTTCCATTCGGGGAACTGGTCGATGCGTGGGTAAATCCAGAGAATCGGAACTATTCCACGGTGCCAGAAACAAGCCCACTCCTCGTGCTCGCCTTGGACCTGGGGTAGGAGGTCGAAAGCCGTACTATGCTCTGTGGGCGCCAGGCATGAGCACAACCATTGTTGGTGCAGGATATCCTCGACGGGAAGCGGGCAGTGGCGTGCAGCAGCGCACCGAGGGCATTTTTGTCGACCGGGCTCGGCAGGGTGCCGACGATCACCTGGCCACAGCGCGCCTGTAGCGATACGCTCGAGCAGTGCAGCGTGCCCATGACGCTGCGCACGCCGATGGGCACGGATGAGCTTCAAGATAATTGTGAGATCGGCCCCATGCTCGAGGCCCTTCCCACAGAAGTGCTGGGCTGCAAAGTCCCGCCAAATCTGCTGCTCGAAAGTGCCCTCAACCTCGGCCAGTACACACTGCTGCCATCCTGGTTTAGATCCCGAAACCGCCTCCAAGTAGAACTGGGCTCTATCAGGTGGGGCCTCGTCGGGGACCAAGTAGTAGGTATCTCCATAGGGGTCCTTCCACTGCCAGGGGAGCTGGGGATCCCATCCACTCTGAAGCAACGCGGTCACAAGAGCGGCTATGGGGCCTCGGGCTTTGCCCCGCGGGTGAACTGCAGCGCGCATGGCCTCGACGCACTTGGCCCAGGCAGCTTGGACAGCAATCCGCTCACGCATGAGAGCAGGAAGAATGTGCAGCCACGCCTTGACCATGTCGTGCCGCGCAAAGAACAGAGGGTCGCCTTTCTTTCCAGGGCCAAGTCGGATAGCTACTGTCGCACAGCCACCAGCTCTCTGCTTCCCCGTGAGTGCGGCCATCTTGGACCGAAGCTGCTTCAGCGCCGTAGGCGAGGCCCCTTGGGCCATCATTCCCCAGGAAGCTTGTGGCTTGACCCCCGCGAGGTTGAGCTTGCTGGCTTGGCTGTTAGCTTTCAGGAGCTGTTTGACCCGCTCGGCCCTGGCGAAGGCCTTCTTCAATCTACCTTTGGCAACCTTCGTAGATCAACGTCATGAAGCACAGTCAAGTCCGAGGTCTCTCGTCTTGGTGGTCAACTGGATATGGATAGCAGCCTTCTGGAGGGCCTTGTGGATCCCTTGGACCAGGACCTTATTGCTACCGAGGAGCTGGGACTTTCCTGAGAGACGGAGACCCCCGGCTCTCATGTGGTAAACCAGGTCGATGGCGCCTTGGGTGGTGAGCCGATGCACGATGGCCTTTGGACCTCTGGAGGACAGGGAGATATCGTCGACCCAGGTGCTGATCTCCATGGGCCTGCATCGTGCATGTGCCACGTCTAGCATGTCATGTAGATACGCACGCGTCCAGCTCACACTCTGCATGCACCCCTGGAGGATGGAGCGCTCGACCGAGATAAAGTCTGAAGCCTCGCGCCCTAAGATGAGGGCCCTATCTGCGGTGTGCACGCACATGCCCATGTACATGGTGTGTAGTGGGTAATCAAGTGCTTTGCCTCGGGTATATATCCAGAAAGGGCTGAGCGTGCCGAAAAACGTTTCCGCATCAAGGAGCAGGACGGCCCAGTCGACCGAGATCTAGCTCGCTGATTCGGCCTTGGCGTGCTTGAGAAGGGCCGCCTTCAAAGGGTCAGAACCTCGTGCGGCTGCATCCCAGAATCCTGCTTTCTGTTTCTCCCAGGTGGTGACAGCTTCTTTCCTGAGTCGGGACCAGGTGCGGTACTGCCCTTGGGTCCGAGTGATGGGTCTGTCCCCTTCCCTCGTGGGTTTGGGACGCATGCCAACTTCATTCAACAGGATCTGCTCTGGCCACGCGCAGGTGCGCTCGATGTCCTGCAAGAGACCAACTAATTCATCGCGCGCCTCCTCAGGCAGAGCGGCCCAGAGCTTGGGGTTCCACTGGTCGGCCCCCATGCCCATAGAACTCGGAAAGGCCCGGCACGCTGCCAAGACCTGCGGGGCTTGAAGTTCAGACAGTTCAGGCACCTGGGCCTGCGCTTCCTGCCGAAAAACTTGCCACCAGCTCTGCGTAGAGGGATGCCCTTGGCCTCCAGGGTCCTTCCAGAGTGCCTGCCACCGAGTCTGATTGGTCTTCAGAGCCTCCGAGGGGTCCCATAGTGGGTCCCCTTCCGCGTCCAGCTCTTGGGCTGGTGTGGCCTCTGGGCGGCCCCAGGTGGTGCTATGTCGATGAGCCCACTTGGCCCCCCCTCGGAGGCTCTGGGAGGGCCACTCCTGGAACCCAGCTTGTTTATCCCGATAAACTTCATGATCGACACGGTCTCGGATAGCCTTACACTTCCTGGCCAAGTCTTTAATGCCGTCCTGGGACAGTTGGTATCTGCTGGGCCTGCATCTGGATGTCCTGAATGTCTGAGGTGATCTGGATGAGGTCCTCCTGAGATCCCTTGGGGACATGATGCTCTTGGATGCTTCCGAGTTTGGCCTGGATGAGCTTCCCAACTTGTTGGCGTTTTGCCGTCTTCCCTGGGCTCTCCTCACCGATGCGGAGTCCATGAAAGTCCTGAAGCCGCGCAACCATGCATTTCCAAAAGGCGAGCTTATGCGTGCCCCCATGTTGTCCGCTGTGTTTGGCTGGTGGCATGGCAGGTCTCATCGTCAGGCCTGGAGAGCAGCCGCGGTGGTGCGCAAGGTCGCGCACGCCAACAAGCTTGGACTTGCGCAGCTCCCCAGCTTCACCTGAAAAGAGAGCATACCTGTCAGTGAGAGCTGGATCGGTACAGGGTTCGGCAGTGAAATACTCTGTTCGGGGTCGGCTTGGAAGTCGAGCACGAGCTTTCTCCAGGAAGACTTCCCAGGCCAGAGTAGGCCCTTGCACGTCCAGGGGAAGCGGCACTGGCTGAGTGAGGACTTGCATCTGCCGTTCCCTGAAAGTTCCTGCCAAGCTGCCGCGAACGCCAAGATGTGGATGGGCCCATGGCCCCTCTAGGTCATACTCCAAGGTGAGGTCAGGGACGAGGTGGGAGGAGACCAGTCCGAAGTCGATCACCCGCTTACCGAACTCCCGAGAGGCCCCTTCTGGAAACACAAACCTGGCGTCGAGGTAGTCCTCAATCCCAGACTCCCGAACCTCCGATACTTCCATATTCCAGCCGGCTAAGAGGATGAAGGGGACCCCAGTGGCCTGGATTTTGCTAACCATCTCATCTAGCATCTGCATGTTATCCCCCGAGAGGCCCCCCCCCGCAAGCGAAGTAGGCGGAGAGGAAAAGGAGCGCGTGGCCATGCAGGCGGGCCTCACGCGCGGCCCACATGCCTTGCCCAGCAGCTGGCTGAGACCACTCCGCTCGTCGCAGCCGGATGGCCCTGGAGCTCAGGTGTGCGCCGACGGCGACCCATGCACCTCCGCGGCCGAGCTCCCCTTGCACCTGGGTCCCGTTGGCGGGCCTGACCTCCACCTTCCAGTGCGCCTTGCTGAGCTTCTTGATCGCAGCATGCAACGGTGGCCCTCGTAGGTGAGTCTCTGCACCAAGTTGGACATGGTACCCTTCATCATCGCGAATCTTATTCACGTTGTCGAGCCCAGTCTGGTTCCACTTGGTGTAGTTGGTGAAGTAGAAACGCACTGCTTGAAGGTCATGCTTGTGAGACCGCTTCATCTTGTCACGACTGGCCTTCACATGCTCCTGGGGTGCCTGAGCGTAGGGCGTCACCTCCAGGGCCTCAGACGGACAGACTGCGCCAGGAAGAGGAGCGGCAGGCTGTTGCCCCTCTGCCTCATCTGTGGCGATGGGCACGGTGTCGGGCTCTGGGCCGCCGTCGTGGCCAGCTGTCGCGAAGGCGTCTGCGTCCAACTCCAGCTGGCCGAAGGGGTCCCAGTCCCCGTCCATGCTGGCCCTTCTGTGGCTGCTGTTGTCCGTGTTCAGCTCAGTGCCCTTCTGCTTCTCGTCTTCCGTGTCCACTCGCCCGCGCGGAGTGTTATCGGCTGCCGTAGAAGGGGTACTTGTGCCGCCCCTGCCTGAGCCATCACTCTCGGCCAGCCTTGAAGGTGCAAGGCCGAAGCCCAGAGCATTAAAGTCCCCTGCCGACGAGGATCTGGCGAACATGGCTGACTCAGGCAGGTCGGCGTGGGCCCCCGCCGAAGCGGGGCATCCTCTGGGCGAAGTAGACGATGGGGCCACCGAGGGAGAGAGGGCCCACTCCTGCGATAACTCTGCCGATGACCCAGTCGACAAAGCTGCTGAGGAAGACGGAGTTGCCGTGGATGCAGTCGACAAGGAAAGCCCACTTGTTGTCGTCATCTGCGTCGCTCGTGTCTCCAGCCCAGGGGAATGCACATCCCTGGCCATCTGGAGAGAGGTACAGGCAGCTGCTCCCCACCGTCGCCGCCGATGAGCTGCTGTTGGTTGTCGTAGTGCTGGTGCTTCATTCCCCACTGAATGTAGCTGGTCTTCCGGTTCTGGTGGCTGAGCCAGATCATGTGATCGGTATTGTCGATCCCCTGGACACTGCACATCATTGGCATCAGCTTGGAAGTAGTGGTACGTGGGGCGCTCCGCGAAGCGCACCCGAGCCGCGCCCTGCGGCCCTGGGCTACCCCCGCGTCTGGCTGGCGTCCCCTTTGCTGGCACCCTTGCCCGCCAGCACTGCGGCAGCGCGCTCCTTGGCTGTCTGGGCGGGCTGCTGTGGGGCGCCCACCTCACTGCCTGGGGCGGCGCTGCCAGGTGCTCCGCTTCCAGCACTGGCGGCGCCAGCAGCGGCAGGCTCCGTTGTAGCGCCGCCACCGTTGCCGCCAGGAGGAGGAGCAGACTCCGCCCTAGGCCGCTTGGTCTTGAGGCGCCTCTTCTGCTCCTCGTGGGCTCTGCGGGTGGCATCGCACTTCTCTTTGGCCGATTTGAAGAGCTCAGCAGCAGCGGCCTGCATGGCGGTTTTGAGCTCCTCCTTGCGCTTCGCGATCTCTGCCTCGTCCTCGGTGCCCAGCTCGTACTCTTCTCCAAGGTCGAACATGTCCCCGCAGTCAATGAGGTCGTCGGCGCTGAGCTTGCCTTCGAGCAGGGACTGCAAGTCGAGCTTGGAGGGGTTGGCTTCCTTGGGGCCGAGCTTGGTGTGGTATTCTTCCTCCAAGACTGTCTTGTACTCAAGCTCCGCGGCCTCGAGGTCACCCACCAGCTTGCGAACGAGCTCAGCTTGATCAGTAGTCTGCTGCTGAAGCTTGGCCAGGAGGTCTTTGGCGTTAGTGGGCTTCTTCTCAGTCGCCGAGGCCTTGCGCTGGGCGGCGGCGGCACGCTGGTTCACGGGGCGGACCACGCTCGCCTTGGCCAGCTCCGCCGCGTATCTGTTGGCTGTGGCTGTGTCTCCCGTCTGGGTGGCCACGTCCACCAGCTTCTGGAGATCGGCTGCCGAGACCTGCGCCGCTGCGGTGCCTGCGCCCCGCCCGCGGCTGGCCGAGCGAGTCCACCTGTTGGTGCCGCGCCCAGCTCCTGCGTCACTAGTCCACGGAGCTGGCGCTGGTTCTTCAGTACGTCCTTTGCGGCAGTGCTTGCACCAGGTCCAATGCAGGAGGTTCTGCCCGCATCCACAGAGGCTGCACTTCCACCGATCGCCAGGGCGCCCATGGGACATGTTCCTCCTCCTCCTCCTCCTCCTCCTTCTCCTCCTCCTCCTCCTCCTCCTCCTCCTCCTCCTCCTGGTGGTGACCCTGCTGGGCAGATCCTGGGAGCAGTCCGGGAGCGATCTCGCGGCACCCTCTAAGGCGCTGCGAGACCGCCGCGGAGAGAAGTCATGGGGGCCGCCTGAGGCACCTCGGGGGGCTGTCTGTGCGCTGCCCTTCACCGGTCATTCCAGATTTCGTAATAAAGGGAGGGGGGTCTCATTTCGGGGGGGGGGTCTCTTCCAGGCTGTCTTGGAGGGCCTGGGGGGGTCTGGGGACGATGTGTTGGAGGGTCCTCCCACGAGGGTGGGTCTGAAATGGCTTGTCTTGGAGGGTCCAGACCCCCTCCCTTTTATTACGAAGTCCGGAGTACGGTTTTCGCACGCTCGTCGGTTTCTGCAGGTTCTGCTGCCCCCGGGTGAGTTCCAGCGGCTGCGCCTCGCCAAGAGCGGTGGGGGGAAGGCCATCGTTCCGAGCGGCCGCCGGGTGCAGGAGACCCGAGTTCTGAACCGGAAGCCAGCCGACGAGGATCGCCAGGGGCGTTCGCGGTTCCGTCGCTTCGGCTGCGTCGCAGTCGACTGCGTTCGGCCGGTTCGGTTCGGTCGGTAACTGCGCCGTGGCTGCGTCGCTGCGCCCTGCTGGGCTGCCTGCGGCCCGCCGGTTTGGGTCCGTTTCGGTCTCGCGGTCGGTTCAGTCGGGTCTCGGTCTCGGGTGTCGCCGTGGACGGCCTTGGCAGCCCCCAGTCTGGCCCCTTGGAGGACCTGGTGGAGCTGTTCCGCCGCGAGGAGGTCCTGGACGGCGACAACGCCTGGGAGTGCCACGGCTGCCGACGCCGGGTCAGCGCCCACAAGAAGCTCGACCTGTGGAAGCTGCCCCCCGTGCTGTGCGTCAACGCCTGGCGCTCGGGAGGCCCCGATCGATCGATCGGTCCGGGCCCCAGGTGGGGTCCGTTCCGACCCGATCGATCCGGTTCGCTATCGATTCTGGCCGGGCCGACCTGATTCGATTCCGACATCGATTCTGGTTCGCTATAGATATCGGCATCCGATATCGATCCGATTCGCTATCGATCCGGCCCGGCCCGATGCGATTCCGATACTCCGACGACTCCATGCGGCCCGGTGTCCGCATGGCGCTGTTGTGCATCGTGGCGCGGCCGATTCGACCTCGATCTCGGCTCCGTGCCGATGCCGCTCTATGCGGCACAACGTAGCCGCAGCGCGCGCAGCGCTTCCTGGGCCAGTGAGCTGCCCTTCTCCAGGGGGGGTGGGCGGCGCGACTGCGCGAGGATAGTCCCGCGTCGCGCATCCCGGGCCGCGATGCGCAAGGTGGGGTGGCCACCTACACCCCCCTGGGAAAGCAATGCAACTTTTGCAGGCCGTGTCGAAGAATCGTCCGGGGGACTTCTCCGAGGGTAGTTTTTCATTCCAGGTCCGTTTCTGACGGCCCCCGGAGGTCAAAAAGCATCGAAAAACCAGAGGCGACGAAGGCAAACAGATCGATGAGTCAAGGTGCATGACGTGTCCAGGGCATTGTAGGATGGGCCGATCCGGGCCCAGCTCGGAACCCATGGCCCATCGTCGAGCAGTGGCGAAGCGTCCTGGCTCGCCTATAGCACTACCACACAATGTTCTAAGAACCTTCTGTGGTTTCCACGAACTGCTCTCAGAACATAGCTGGCAGAGCCTGTCTTGTTTGATCACATCGGGTTTATATTCTGAGAGCATTGTTTTTGCTCTGAGAACATGTTTGGGTTCTAAGAACTTGTCGTGGTAGGACTACAGGACTGCCGGAACGGTCGGTCCCTGCTCAACATTGGGCGATCGGGATCAGTCCCTGCTCAACATTTTTGGGTTCTAAGAACACTTCGTGGTAGGACTATAGGAATGCCGGGACGGTCGGTGCCTGCCCAACATCGGGCGATCGGGCGATCGGCATCGCGGGCGGCCAGCGGAGGCCTCGGTCGACGGGGGGGGGGGGGCTCCGGGCCGCTGGGTGGCACCCGGCCAGCGGGAGCACGCGGCTCGAGGCGCCCAGCCGGCCAGTCCAGGCTCGGAGTGACGTCGGGCCTGGCCTTCCACAGGAAGAATCGTCCAAAGATAGTCCAAAAATATTCCAGATTTCGTAATAAAGGGAGGGGGGGTCTCATTTCGGGGGGGGGCTCTTCCAGGCTATCTTGGAGGGCCTGGGGGGTCTGGGGACGATGTTTTGGAGGGTTCTCCCACGGGGGAGGTCTGAAATGGCTTGTCTTGGAGGGTCCAGACCCCCTCCCTTTTATTACGAAATCTGGAGTAGTCTGGGGCCCTCTTTTACGGTATCGTCTGCTATGTTTGAGCATTCGTTTGCCAATGTCTGATTGTTCGTCCAAAGCCCGCCTGTTTGAATATTCAAAAATAGTCCAAAAATAGTCTGGGGACTTTTTCCAATCAGAGCTTGCCTCTGTAGGGGTCCTAGCGGATTCATATGGTTAATTTGGTTAGGTTTGCCGCCGATTTTTCGCCGCACGCCCCGGTGCCCCGGTGCCCAGGTGCCCCGGGGTGCCCGGGTGCCCGGGTGCCCGGGCGTGCCCGGGGGTGCCTGGGGGTGCCCGGGGGTGCCCTATAGCTCAATAGCCCTATAGCCCCACAACTCTATAGCCCTATAGCTTTATAGCCCTATAGCTCTATAGCCCTATAGCATTCTAGCCCTATAGCCCTGATTGGGATTTTTCGCCGGTATCATGTTTTACCGTAGTGTTGGCTATGTTTGAATATTCGTTTACCAATTTCTGATTGTTCGTCCAAGGCCCACCTGTAGGGAGCCATGCCCGACCTAAGGCTTGGAGCCGTCTGGGGGTCTGGGGTGGCCCAGCACTGGCCCCGGCCAGCAGGAGGGGCGGGCAGGCTCGAGGCGCTGGGTTCGGGCAGGTGTGCTGCCTGCTTCGGCCTCTGGAGGCCGTTCTCGAGCCCCAGGGCCGTCGGAAACAGATCGGGGCGAAACGTTGCACCAGGTGGGCCCGGGGAGGGGTCCAGGGACCAATTTTGAGCCGATTTGGCCTCATCCCCCCTCCTGGCCGCTGTTCTTGGGTTCCTGCCACCATCATGGGGGGACACGACGCCCCTTTGAGTGGGACGGGGTGGGCACAGAGGGGCCATCACAGGGACCTCGCACCCAATTCGAGACCATCAGAAAGGCTCGTTTGGGGAGAAGGTCATCACAGACCTTCGACCTCAACATCTTCTTGAACGCGGTTCGGGGCCGGGTTCGCATCATAGCGGTCCTCGAGGTGGGCATCATAGCCTGGTAACCATGGCCAATCAGTTCATGTTTTTGTCACTGACTTCATGATATGCGTAGCATGCTTTCCCCCAGCGGCCTCTCGACTTGCTCCTAGTTTGATCAACTCCTCAGGGCCGACTGGCCTTGTGAGGGAGGGCCGCGTTCGACGAACTCTCGGGCTACCAGGAGTCAGGAACCAGGCGGGGGAGGAGGAGGAGGAGGAGGAGGAGGAGGAGGAGGAGGAAGAGGAGGAGGAGGAGGAGGAGGAGAAGGAGGATGAGGAGGAGGAAAAGGAGGAGGATCGGCTTTTCTGGGGTATGCCCCACCGAAGCCGCTCCCCCTCGCCATCTAGCACCCGCGCGCGGATGTCCTCTTCTCTCCTCCGTGTCCCTCGCCTTTCGCCAGCTTTCACCACGAGGATGCCGGGTAGCTCGCCGCCGAGCAGGAAGGAGGATCGGGTCAGGCCGAGGATCTGCCTGTCAGGCGTTCGACCATGGACCCGCTGCGAACGCCACAACCCAGCTCCCGCGCGCCCAAGACCACCGAATACTGCCGAAGACCGTCAGAAGACCGCCGAAGGCCGCCCCAGGCCGATGGGTCACAAGGGGTCCGCGGTCGAATACGTAGGGTCGGAAGCCAGGCGACGGGAAGTACCCGCCACCCCGTGGCCTCCACAGGCCACGTCTGGGCCCCGAGCTTAGTGGACCTCGGATACGGGCCGAGCCGCGTGGCCCTGCCGGCCGGGGCGTGGGCCCCGGTGCTCCGAGCGTCGGGAGCCCCCGTGGCGGTGGGTGCGCTCCCTCTCCTCGGGGCGGGCCCTCCTCCTCCTCCTCCTCCTCCTCCTCCTCCTCCTCCTCCTCCTCCTCCTCCTCCTCCTCCTCCTCCTCCATGCCACTCCATGCTCCTGCTCCATGCTCCTCCTCCTCCTCCGAGGTCAAGCGGCTGGAGTGGGTGGAGGAAGCGCCGATGCGTTACGCCATCGACCAGCCCCGAACCCTGCCCGGCCTGACCCGGAAGGGTCTTTCCCGTGGGAGGCCGGGGCGCACGCGACGGGGGTCAGCGCTGACGGGCGGGAGCGGCTTTGCGGCCCGCCAGGCTTCGCGACGTGGCCTTGGCTGACCCGGGCTAGCGCGTCTCCGAGGAGGAGGAGGAGGAGGAGGAGGAGGAGGAGGGCCAGAGCACGCCCAAGATGCATCGACGACGTTTGAGTACACCCTTCAGTCCCGAGTCCCCTCATCATAGGTCTCTGTGAGAGTGCCCGTCCACCACAGGAGGTCTCCCCCACGGAGGACAGACGAGCAGGCCCCGTGGGCCTGCCATGCAGGCGAGGTCGCGTGTCGTGAAAGGCCCACACGCGAGCGCTCCATGAACAAGAAGCCCACAGAGGTACAGTCGAGGCCCTGAAGAAGGAACCCTTTTCGTTGGGGAGGGGCTCCGCGTTCCTTGATTGTTTCACAGTTTGCCTTGGGTGTTCTTATGTTTTTGATGGGAAATCGAAGTTTAACTTATGGAACAAGGGCCTCGTTCCTTATGTTGGGTTCCTTAGGTCAAGGCCCCGACTGTAGGGCAATGAAGCTCGAGGGCGTTTCCAGCGATAGCGCCTTCTGAAAAGGGTGTGCCTTCTGTCCGTGCAAGCGCTGCACAGTGTCGAGGCTCTTGCTGCAGAGCTGCAGGAAGTCTCAAACGAGCGCCCCGTGTTTGAGAGGAGCTGCCCACCATCCGTGAAACCCTTGCGCAATGTTGAACTTTGGGTCGCAACGTTGGGGAAGTCTCGAGCGGAGCTGGCTCTGGCCCACCACACTTCAGTGCGACACGCTGTACGCTTCCAGGTCCTGGAGCGTCAACGTCATAAGCCTTTCCGAGCCTCCCGCCCCGCGGAGCGGAGCGACATGCTTTCCGCTTGCAAGGCATAGCGTGTCGCCAAGGCCGTCGTGGCGACACGCTAAGCACAAGTTCCAGACCGTAGTCTTGCAAGTTGTTAAGGCGAAGGATCGCGGCGCCAAGTCGTGAGCCCCATGTTGTTGTTTTTGTTGAGACCCGCCCTCCACCGGTGTAACTGCTGCAGGCCCTTACAGCGAATGTGAGCTCCGACCGATATGTCAAAGTGGATTCGGCCGTGGCCACGATGCCCCCCCGAGAGCCCCTGGACAAAAACAAATCGCGCACAAAGGCACAACACACACGCAAACTAATATTATATATGCCCATAATCATTATACATCCTGCATGAAACAAAAAACAGGGATGGCCCACACACCCACACACACACACCATACCTTTTGGACGGTACTCCCCAGCCCCAGGGCACCTGTCACTAGAGCTCCCAGACAGCCGAGACAGCCCCCCACACCGGCCCAAGGTGCCCCAAAGTTGGCCCAAGAGGTTCCCAAGGCGCCCCATATTTCCAAAATGGCGCAAGAGCGCTCCAAGATGGCACAAGACCGACTGTAGACGGCCACAGAGGCCCTCAAGACAGCCCAAGAGGGAGGGCCCCCAAGAGGCACAAATCGTCGCATTCCCTGCAGGGAAGAATATGTTTACAGTATAATCGCTTCTTCAGTCCTTACAGCGTCCAAGACGACCCAAGAGACCCCCAAGATCGCCCCAAGACGACCCAAGAGGCCCCCACGAGGGCCCCAATACTGCCCAAGAGGACTCCAAGACGGCCCAAGAGAGCCCCAAGACGGTCCAAGACAGGCCCAGAGGCTCAAAAGGGTCCCAAGGGAGCCCCAAGAGAGCCATAGGAGGCCCCCTATACTAGACGGCCCAAGAGAGCCCCAAGAGGGCCCAAGGACGGCCCAAGCCCCCCAAAACGGCCCAAGAGGCTTCCAGGACGGCCCAAGAGGGCCCCCAGCCGGCCCAAAGGAGCCCCAAAAGGACCCCCAAGAAGGCCCAAGAGGCCTCCAGAGCTTCCCGCAATGTTTCCAAAAGGCTCCCAACAAGCTTCCCAACAGGCCCCAGAAGCGCTCTCCAGAGGCCCCGACGGGCAACCCAGACGCCACGAAGTCACGATCCAGGGCAGGTGTGTGCCGCCATGGCGGCACGACGGCCCCGGCGGCATGACCACGGCCCCCTCTCGCGACCATGTCCGTGTCCCCTCTTACTTGGGCGGCCGCCGCTTTAACCCCCCGAGACAGCTCATGTCTACTCGCTTCGGCCAGCTGTAGGCCAATCGTCGCCGTGAACGCCAAGGCCCCCCAAAGTCCCCTCTCAAGTCTGCTACCCTCCCATAGGCGTCCAAAACAACACCCAGGTCACCTCCAAAACGAGCGTACATCAGTCGTCTGTTGCAAGCTTGTTCTCCTCATTCGCTTCCAGCTCTGCATCTTCTGCTCCACCTCCAAATTCGTCATCGTCTTCCATGTGCGCCCTATCATCACTGGCCAGCTGTAGGCCAGTCGGCGCCGTGAACGCCAAAGCCCCCTAAAACCCACTCTTGCCTGAGACCTTCTCTTAAGCCGTCCAAGCAACACCCAGGCCAGCTCCAAAATGAGCGAACATTAGTCATCGTCATCGTCTTCCACCGGCCACGAAACGACCAAGAGTACCACGAGACGTACAAATCAACGATTCTTCCAAACCTGTTGATGGATTCGGATTTGGTGCACGCTGCCCCCAAAACGACCCAGAGGTTTCCAAGAGGCCTTTCCGACGCTGCAGAGGCCCCAAAGGCACGTCATAAGTTTTGAAACTTTGACCGCGTCAACGAACTTCTCTTTGCGCGCCCCTGTTCTCAGGGTGAGGTTCACCACCCCCTTCTCCGAGCGATGACCTTCACCCCCCTCGCGGTCATCAGCGTCGCCCCCTCGTCGCACCGACCCCTGCCCCTCTCCGACGAGAGGCGGGCCCAGCCGTGGCCACAGGAAACCTCCTCCAGGGGGACACCGCGGAAGGAAAAGACCCAGAGGTCCCCAGGAACGCCTCCCGAGGCCCAGCCGTTGGCAGGGGCCGCAGGTTGCCAAAGCATGCCAGGAACGCATCTCGAGGTTCCAGGGTGCAGGATGGAGGATTGAGATTCGAGGATCGAGGGTCGAGGGTCGAGGGTAAAGGTTGGAGGATCGAGGGTCGAGGGTCGAGGGTCGAGGATCGAGGGTCGAGGGTCGAGGGTCGAGGGTCGAGGGTCGAGGGCATCCAGGATCGGCTCTCGAGGGCCGAGGGCAAGCAGCGTGGCGAAAGGGCCAGGCCGGGCTGAGCTCTGGTGCCGCTGGGGCCGTCCGGAAGCTACGGTGCGGCGTCGAGTTCCCGGTGCGCGGCCGCGGGGAGTTGGACCTCGGGCCGCTGGCGGCCCCAGAGGCGCCGCAGAAGGAGCGCGGTGTTCCTCCTCCTTCGCCACATCCTCCTGTTCCTCCTTCTTCGCCTCCTCCTCCTCCTCCTCGTCTCCGCTCCCCTTACTCCTCCTCCTCCTCCTCCTCCTGTTTCCTCCTCCTCCTCCTCCTTCTTCTCCTCTCCCCTTCCTCCTCCACCTTCTTCTCCTCTCCCCTTCCTCCTCCTCCTCCTCCTCCTCCTTCTCCTCCTCCTCCTCCTCCTCATCATCATCATCATCATCATCATCATCCTCATCCTCATCCTCACCCTCATCCTCATCATCCTCATCATCCTTATCATCCTCATCCTCCTCCCCCTCCTCCTCACCGGGCGCCCAGCCACCGCCGACTGGCGTTTTAGCTGGCGCTGCTGCAGCAGGAAAGGAGGGCAAGGGCAAGGACGGAAAGACAGGCAAAAGAAAGGACACGTGGATCCCCTGCTCGTTCTACATGAGCGGCTGGTGCTCCATGGGCGACAGGTGCCGCTTCTCCCACGACAGCAAGTCCCCCGCGCACCCCTGGCACCTCAAGCGGCTCCTGGGGCCAACAAACACAGCGGCTGCCGCAAGACAGTTGCAGACTGTGCTTCCAACCGGGGAACTGGGGAAACGAATGTCCGAACAAAGGCAAGGGCAAACATAAAGACGAAGGCAAAGGACTCGGCAAAGCCAACCCCAGCTGGATAGGAACCAGCAGCTCGGGCGGCGCACCGGGGACGCCCGTGCCGCAGCCTAGTTCCAACGAGAAGAAAAAAGGAGCCGGATCGGAGCCGGCAAGTTCGCACCTGTTACAGAAGAGAGTTGGACCGGAGCCGACCAAGCAGGTCAATTCTCGGGCGGCGGATCGGTACCGCCCGCCCCACCAACGACCGCAGTCACATTGGATTCACTCACATCACACGCAGAGCAGCACAGGGAGCACTTACAGGGAGAGTGCGAAGGCACCACAGATTCAGGAGGGGAAAAAACACACAGACACAATTAATCGCCGATTCTCAGGAAAAATATGCAAATATATGGGAAGTGGGGGGGAAGACAAAAAACCCAAAAATATAGGAAAATTTTGGGGATCTGTTTATTTGTGTGTATTTATTTGTGTGTCCTGGGGCCCCTGCAAAGATCTCCTACAAAGATTGAGTGGCCAAATGGTCCGCCTCGCGTTTAAGTCCATCAGCATCGGCGAGCACGGGGTCGCGTGCGACGTGCTCCGTCTGATCGCCGATTCGGGTGCCGAGAGACACAGTTAAAGCGGCTCCGACTTCCCGTACGATCGTCCTTGAGACCGCTAACGGCGAGACGCTCGTCACCGAGAAGCAAGCGTTGTTTGTTGTGGTGTTGACCTACATTCTTGCCTCCTCTGCACAGTAGCTAGCTCTTCCCTCTTATCCATAGATTTACTTACAGACAACGGGTGGGAGCACAGGCAGGGGAAGTGTGGAGCGACGCTGGCGAGCCCAGCGGGGGAGCAGTACAATTTGTTCAGGGAGGGGAACTTATTCTACCTGGGTGGACATCCTTGTGCCAGTTCCTCGAACACGGTTTCCCCGACATGTTCCCCCCCACCACACTGCACCACGTGCCAGTGCGTATGTGTAACGAGGAGGAGAAGGAACCGGAAGGACTAGGAGAAGGAAGAGGAGGAACGCCTTCCGGCAGGCCAGGGGGCAGTCGTGGCGAGGAGTTTCGCCCGGCTGGATCCGACCTGTCGACTCGTCCAGTTCGTCCGTTTCCCGGTGATCTTGGGGGCAGTCGTGGCGAGGAGCCTCGCCTGGCTGGAAAAGTGACACCATGCGCCGGTCCAGTGGCCAGTAGTTGTTTCGACACGTATGCCGGATCCGCCTTCCGAGAAGATAGCATTCCAGTTTTCACTAACATAGAATATTGCTTGGGTTTCTTGCGCAATTCTGGCCCCGACACTCCTGTATTATTCTTCGTGGAGCCCGGCCTCCATCCCGAAAAAAATACCATCTCAGAGGGGCTGATTTGGGATCGCGTTCGACGGGGCCACATCGATTACGACGCTGGTTGCATTATCCGTGTGCAGGCCAACCTCGGACATCTGAAATTCACGCGGAGGTGTCATTACTTTTTTTACATGAGCGCGGGATCGTGCCAAACCACACGCCTGGAATCCGTAACATGGCCGATGCGCTCACAAAAGCCCTTGGCCACGATAAGCTCATGTACCTTGCCGGTCGGTCGTTTGGCATCCGATTTGACCAATTCGGTAATGGATCGATCCGCGCTTGCATGGTTAAAGTCGCAACAGGGTCCTCATCACGCCCTTCTTCTTCGTCGGGAATGAGCCGGATGCCTCCCGGACAGCGCATGGTTGAGTTCGCGTGCAGGGCGGCGATTCTGGACAATGCCGAGAGCATCGCTAGGAGCAACGCCCGGTTCGACCCGAACCGCCCTTTGCAGGTGGCGCGTCTGAACACGCTGACCGACCTCCACAAGCATGTCCTCGACAAGGCGTCCGCTCGGAAGGCGCACATGCAGCCGGGCAGTGACAGTCGTGGCGAGGAGCCTCACCAGGCTGGATCTAACCGCGTGCAGGCCGACATCCGCAGCCGCATGCCCATGTGGAGTGCTCGCCGGAAGGACCGGGAGCGTTTCAGAGCTCGGGGCGACACCCGCCCAGAGCTCCTAAAGGCTGCTCCTGCACCAGCAGGCGGATCAGATCGCCCAGTCAAGGTATTCACGATCGTGGCCGATTGTACGGACGACGAGTGTTTCCGCGTGACTTGCACGAACCCACTGGAGGGCAGTCCGTTTGTTATCGAAGTCGACAGGGTGGATCGCTACGGCGCTCTGAAAACGCTAATTTCCCTCAGGATCGGCACAAACAAGCTCTCTTTGATAAACGAGACCGGCTTGCCATTGCATACTCTTCGGGCCGATGTTTTGATTCAAGGTATCCCTGATCTGACGGCCGAGCTTCTTGGACAAGCTGCCGCAGAGCCTGTGGAACAGCTTCGCGTCCGTCCTGCACGCGTCGTAACGCGGAAGCCGCCAAACAGCAACCAACGTTCCAGGAAGAAGGCCAACAGAACGTTGAACAAGAATATCAAAAAGTTCGGTACGACCACGAACCCACCCCCAATCCTCCAGGCCACCCCCAAGAGGAGCAGCATGGGAACCACGTCCAAAGCTGCAGGGGCGCCCCGGGCCGCCATCGACAGCCAGTTCCACACGATGTCGTGGCTCTGAAGATCGCTACCAAGGTGATCATAGGTGTGAGTGATGCGAAAGTGACTGTTTTCAAATGCCTTTGCACCCTCGGCTTCACGTTAATTAGAAAACCGGCACCGTCATGCATGGCCCGTCGGATGTTTACTCGTTTTGTAGTAACGATCTGTTGGTAGGGCGCGTCCTCTGGACCTTCCTATCCCTCCTTCCCCCGCCTTCCCTGTTCCAGGGCACGCGCGTTGTCAAAGAGTTGATTCCGTTTGGTTTCTACAGATCTGGAGCTGCGCCTGCGCAACAAGGCCCGCGCAGGGCGCCAGGGCGGCGTGCGGGGCCAGGCCCCATGCTGCCACCCTGCTTTGGCCGAGTTCAAGACCCCAGGGAAAAGGCCGCGCCCGGGGGGGGGGGGGGGGCGCGGGGCTCCAACCTCATCTCCTCCTCCTCCTCCTCCTCCTCCTCCTCCTCCTCGCCCTTCCCTTCCTGCTTCCTGTGTCCTGCTTCCTGTTTCCTGCTTCCTGTTTCCTGCGTCCTCCTTCCTCCTTCCCCCTTCCTCTTTCCTCCTTCCTCCTTCCTCCTCCTCTTCCTCCGCCTCCTCCTCCTGCTCGTCCTCCCCTTTCTCCTCCCCTTTCTCCCCCTTTTCCTTTCCCCTTCCTCCTCATCCCCCTCCCCTTCCTCCTTCCTGTGTCTTGCTTCCTCCTTCTCCTTCTCCTCTCATCCTGATCCTATTCCCTTCTCTTCCGACGTCGCCAACTTGTTATGAATTGGGCCCTGAGGGATCTCGACTCCTTTCCCAAGGCCGGATATCCGTCCCGAGAACGTTGTCTGACAGTTCCAGGGCGGAGAAAAAGGCGTCCAGAAACCGACAAGGCTGAAACATATTGCCGTCAGGATGTTACATACTTGCGACACCCGGACCTGAGGGTCCCCCTCCTCTTCCGCTTCGATTCTACTCCTCGATCGTCGCGCCTCTTCCTTCCCTGTCCTCCTCCGCCTCCCCATCCTCTCCCCTCTTCCCTCTTTATACATAATGTAATGTAATATAAAGTAATATAACAGTATTGCACATACTATAGTATAGTATAGTATAAAAGACTTACAACCATATAAGACAATATAATATGATATAGCATAATCTAGCATAATATAATATGATATAATATAATATAATGTAATATAATATAATATAATATAATATAATATAATATAACATAACATAACATAATAGGATATAACATACTTTAATATATAACACAATATAATATAATATAATATACTGCAATATAATATAATATAATACATACTCTAGTATACGTTGCAACAGTCGAATAAAACATAATATAGCATAACATACTATATTGTAATGTAATAGAGTGTAATGTAATACAATATAATACAATATAATATCATATAACAAAGTGTACTATAATATGGTGTACTTTAATATGATAGAATGCATTATAGTATGTTATGATGTCATACATTAAAATACAATATGATATAATATAATATAATACAATATGGTATGATAGCATATAGTGCAACGGCATGTACTATAATGTAATATAATGCATTGTAGTGTAATGTGATGTGATGTGATGTGATGTAATACCCGCCACTATGATATCAGATACTGTAATACACTAGTATACCATATGCTATAATATAATATAGCATATTACAATGTAATAGATATAGTATAGTAAAATATATTATCATATAATATAATAGCATCTAGCGTAATGGAATGTCTTGTAATCATAATATAGTGCGATGTAATGTATTGGAATGCCACATAATGTGAGGTCAGTTGGTATAACACCTTAAGTATATTATAGTATAACACAACATACTTTATAATTCTTTACGCTTCGCGTATCCCCACCAGCCCATCTCACAACAGCAACTCATGCGAAGCATGCCGGCAGTTGTTTTTCAGGCGTGTGTCCATTTGGCCCCGCATATCTCCCCTGTTCCTCCTTCCTCCCGCCTCCTTGTACATCCTCCTTGTGGGGGGAGCGGGAGAAGGACGAGGCGGAGGAGGAGGGAGAGAAAGCGCTCCTCGTGTTTGAGTCGTTTGGGGTTTCTCGTCCTGGTGTGAGTCGTTCGGGCCCTCCTCCTGGTGTGACTCCTTTGGGCTCCTCGTCGAGTCGTTCGAGTGAGTCGTTCGGGGCTCGTGGTGTGAGTCGTTCGGGCTCCTCGTGGTGTGAGTCGTTCGGGCGCCTCGTCCTGGTGTGAGTCGTTCGGGCCCCCCCTTGTGGTGTGAGTCGTTCGGGCTCTTCGTGGTGTGAGTCGTTCGGGCCCCTCGTCCTGGTGTGAGTCGTTCGGGCTCCTCGTGGGGCCTCTTGGCGGCCTCTTGGAGCCTCTTGGGGCCTCTTGGGGGCCTCTTGGGGGCCTCTTGGGGGCCTCTTGGGGGCCTCCTGGGGCTTCTGGGGGCCTCTTGGGGGCCTCTTGGGGGCCTCTTGGGGGCCTCTTGGGGCATCTTGGGGGCTTCTTGGGGGCCTCTTGGGGGCATCTTGGGGGGCTCCTGGGTGCCTCTTGGGGCCATCTTGGGGCCTCTTGCGACCTCCTCAGAAGCGCAAAGAAGCGCTGCCCCATGAGAAGGACAAAATGAGCCCACAACCCTCGTAAAATCAATGATTTTGCTATGAAGGAAGATGAGCGCGGCCCCCTTCGGGAGGCCAAAATGGGGCCAAAACCTTCGTAAAAACAATGATTTGGGCTTCACAGAAGAGGAGGGGACTACAAGAGTGCCCCCCCGTCGGGGCCAGAATCCTCGTGAGGGTCGTCGTTTTTTGGCCCTCCCAGGCGTCGAAAAAGACCCCCCTGACGACCCGCGGAACTCCCTCTCCAGGCCCAGGGGGAGGGGGTAGGGGGAGGGGTAAACCCCTCCCCGAATGGGAAGAAGGGGGGTTGAGGACAGAGGGGGCTCGCTAAACCACTCACGCCCTAAAGGGCTGGTGGGATAATATAATATAATGTAGTATGATACCATATAATATACTTCAATATAATAGAATGTAATATGATATAAATAATATAACATTACATCATATTTAAAAATGTACATGAACGATATAATGTACAACTATATATACATAGACTATGAAAAGCTGCATAAACGTAGGATGTCGGATTCCTCTACTCCCCTCCCTCCTCCCTCGCCCCCCCCCCCTCTGTGGGCTCTGTCCCGTGGGTTCTGTGGCCCCACGGGGCCATCAAAAAGCATAAGTCTTCAAGCAGCCAAACAGAGCACGACCAAGCGTCCCAGCCTCCGTCCGACCGACCGCCCCTCCCCCCTCCCCGGAGGATCCGCTGCTGTATAGCTTGGTCGCCGTCGTGGACCACCACGGCGACCGCGCGGACGCTGGCCACTACACGGCCACCTGCCGCAGGCAGGC